CCCCCCTCCGCGTCGGCTATCAAGACCATGTCTTCCTTCTCACTCTAACATTCCAAGAAGTTGAACCCCAATTTGAATCTTCAAATGTTGTGTTTTAAACCGACTTGAACTACAAATACACACCAAAGAGGGAGGGTGAATTAGTGTTTAAAAATTTTCCTTTTTGAAAAGATTTTGATTTAACAAAAAATTGACAACACCAATCTAAACAAAATTTTGTTTTGATTTTAAACAACAACTACATAGAATTTTTTTTTTTTTTTTCAAATTTTGATTTCTGAATTTTTTTTGGGTGCAAAGATAATATTTTCTATTTATGCAAAACGAATAACTCACATATCACATATTTGTAATAAATAAAATGCATAAACATAAAAGTAATATAAAAGAATAAACACACTAGAGATTTTTAGTGTTTTGGTTAACCTTGATCTATGTATACTCCATGGAGTTCTCAACTTTGAGAATTGCACTAAATCTTAGTAACTCTCCTTTTGCCCCATAGCATGGTGAAGAAACCCTTACAAATCTCTTCCACCTCATTGGTACGGAGTAATTGAATCCTTTTCACCTCTCGGTGATGCTAAGTATCTAAATCCCTTTCACCTCCTAGATGCGGCTGAGTTGCTTGAATCCTTATCACCCTCCTAATGAGGTGGAGTGCTTGAATTCCTTTCACCCTTCTAGTGAGGCGGAGTGCCTGAATCATTTTCACCAATAATGCGACAGAGTAATCAGGTCCTTTATCACCCAAGATGATCTTCTTTCCAAAGATTCCCTCAAGATAAATTAGGTAATATTTTAAACATCATACAGTACAATTAGGTTTGTATAGTACTATTAGAAAAAAAAAATTAAAATTTAATAAATTAATTAACAGCGGGGTTTCTGATTACAACTGATTGTCTAGTACGATGTGGTGTTTGCACTATATAATTATTTATACTTAAAAATAAATTTTTTTTAGTTTAATAAAATGTTTTAATTAATTTTTGTAATGGTAGATCATACAATATGTTCTAAATCGTATAGTACGATCTAAATAGTAAAGTATAATTTAGAAAAAAATTAAAATATTTATATTTTAAATCTTCACTTTCCTTGTGTGTGCATGATTGCTAAGCTAATAAATACCATTTAAAATATAAAGACTTAAGAAAAGATAAAAACACAAACTCTTGGAAACATCAATCCTATACTACCCAATCTTAAGCTATGATCCTTTAAGAGTACTTTGCTTAACATGAAATGTTAGCACAATAATAAATTATAAGAACATTAAATATAATCTAATAAGGTTTGTTATCACCAAAACACAAATTAGGGCTCTTGAATTGCAACACTTTCTGTTCCCAAGCATCTCAGCTCTATCTGACGGCAAATTATTGGGTTAGGTGACCGTAGGCGAAAAATAAGTTCGGACATCCAATAAAAATTTGCCGCATCAGCTTGCGCTTTAGTTGAGCTTTTTGACTTGCGCTTTGGTTGCGCTTTAGTTGCGCTTTGGTTGCACTTTAGTTGCGCTTTTTGACTTGCGCTTTAGTTGCTCTTTAGTTGCGCTTTGGTTGTGCTTTAGTTGCGCTTTGGTTACGCTTTAGTTGCGCTTTAGTTGTGCTAATTTTAAAATAATATTTTATTAATATCTGGATCCATCTCTGCGTTCGATCACCTGACCCAATAATTTGCCCTGTCTGACGCCGACCTTGAACTCCCTTCCTCTCCATCCAGCCGATCTCTCTAGCTGATTGACCTCAACAGAACTTCGACCGCCGGCTTGCTCCTGACATTGTCGATCTGAGCTTTAAGTCCGATGACTCCTACTTGACCACATCACCGAACAAGCCCTTGGCCATCCCGACCACAACAGTCTCCCAATGCATCCGGTTGTCATCGTCCAGCTAGCCATACTACCGGCCATTCCGTAACCTACTTCCCCCAATTGCTTACTCGATCTTCCATCCCAACTCTACTATAACAACCTCTGATCTCCCCACTAGCTATTGTTATTTGTCCCCCTTCATTCAAGTCATGAGAAAAATATGTTCCTCATCCTATCTATAAGAAACAAACAAAGGAGCTGCTGT